GATATTTCTAAGCTGTAAGAAACAGTTTCTAGTGAGTTGTTTGAAATAGTGTTCTAGTGACATCCCTCTGTCAAAAATCACACTGAGATTTCTAAGGTTAGATTTGGCATAAGAGCTCAGATCACCCAGATACTGGTAGATTCTTGGAACAGCAACATCAGGAGCAATCACCAGCACCTCAGTCTTATCAGAGTTTAACTGTAAAGAATCAGCACCAAGCCAGTGTTTAATTTTAACAAAGTAGTTCTTTAAAGAGTCCAGTTTGTTAATCTCAGTCGACTTGAAGGAACAATATAGCTGGATATCATCTGCATAAAGATAATATGAAACATCATCAAACTCCTGAATGATATTTCCCAGTGGAAGGACATATAACAAAAATAAAATAGGTCCCAACACAGAACCCTGGGGCACTCCACACAACAAATCAGAACAATCAGAGAAGAGCTGATTAACCGAAACACTAAAACACCTGTCAGCTTCCTAACATAAAAAGCTAATCAGTCAATCATAAGGCAGCAACTTAGCACATTCAGGTACCTTGGTAGTGAAGACAACCTGCTAACGTTCACAGTGAAGATCTTCTACAGGAAGAAAGGGGATTTAATGTGTCGAGATTGGGCTGTCAATCATCTTTCAATCAGGGATTCACTCAGTGGTTCATGAGAAAACTAACAGCAGCAGGCAGGAACATTATGGCCCTAAAATGGTCAGGCACATTCATGCCTAACTGACCTGGCAGCAGACGGACCCTCCAGTAGATKCGCAGACATCGCTCCTCCTTGCGGAAGCCACGCTGGCACTTGCAGGAKAGCAGCGAGGGGTGTTTGGTCAGCAGGACATCCTGTCGGTCCAGGCACTCAGAGGCCACTTGTTCCCCCAGCGGGGAGACCTCTGCCTCATCCGCACACCTCTCCAGGCCATGGTACAGCGCCTCGCACTGCGGGTCGGTGGAGCACACACTATGGGCTTCAACACAATCAGTGGCTGGGGGAGGGAAGGGGAAGAGCTGAGCTGGGGAGGGCAGCACACCTGAGAAAATACAAGAGGTAAAACTTTAGTCTGTTTCATACAGAGGGAACAAGAAACAAACAGAAACTAAAATTATGAAAACAATCTGTRAGAGTCAATAATCAAAACTTTTAGTCTTTGTTAAGAAACTACAAGCTACACTTTACCATCCCTCATTATAGACGTCAGTCGAAGAGAACCCAGTCTGGAGACAGTGTTGGTGCTGAGGCTGCTGAATGGATCAGCTGAGGAAACCTTTGGACTGACTAGACATGTTGAGCACCATCAGCATAATGCTGTACTATCTGTCCTTCATTCAGAACACCGCCAAAGTAACAGACAAAACAAACAATACAATCAAGGTTTATTATCAGCCAACGTAGCATTCTTGAGCCCATTCTCATGCATTGACGCTTGACCACGCATCAGTATGTTGACGCGTACGAGATGAGGCGGAGGAGGACGAGTCCCTGAACACAGACCCTAAAGTTAAACAATAACCCTGATCCCTCATATTAGCCATTTCCCCAGACCCTAAATTTAACCTATATTAGCTATGTACAGCCTATCCCTGACCCCAGTATCTCTAACTATTATCTGTGACCACGGACCCTAAAGTTAACCATTAATCCTGACCCCTCATGTTAACCACGGACCCTAAAGTTAACCATAAATCCTGACCCTTCATGTTAACCACGGACCCTAAAGTTAACCATAAATCCTGACCCCTCATGTTAACCTCAAGTGATGCAACCCGGAAAAGCTGCGTGCGGCAAGGACYGACGAGTCCGACATGAGAATGTGTTACATTCTTCTACAGCAGGATGTGACTTTTGAAATAGAGCCACTATCAGTCTGGCCTGGATGAAGACTTCTGCTCTTTACTCCTCGCTCCATGCCCCATGCCTGATGTCATAGCTGAGTTTGTACAGAACATCACTTCAAAAAGAAACAGATTATACCTTTAACAGTAACTACTCACAACATTTCACCTGACAACAAAATGGAAAGCRGTGCTCTGCAGACTGAGCAGATTTATGAACACACAGGTCCACATGTGTCAGAGAAACTCCAGGAGAGATTCTAATCAAAGCACTCGATGACAGAAAAACTGTTTGCCTTTGAACCATATCTGACCAGGACTTTAAAACCAAGATACCTAAACACTGACAGATGGACAAACTAAAAAGTATTCACCCCCTTGGATCGGTTAGGTTTTTACTTCTGACATAAATCAATCATGCTCAAGATAAATCAGCATTTGGACTAAAGAATTACAGAAAAGAAAACTGTCCTCAAGAGAATTCAAAATTCAGAGTATTAGAAATAGAAACTTGTCATAAAAGGAGACAGTGTTGGTGCTGAGGCTGCTGAATGGATCAGCTGAGGAAAGCATTAATAACACATTTAACTCTTCTACACAAGTAGTTTATTCCTAAAAACAGGTTTTTCTATATTCCATAGGTTTTCACCCTTMTAACTGGAACTCGTGTTTGTTTTAAAAGTAATTGTTTATAATAAGCCTAAATACTGTACTTACCCTGTGAAGGTTTGTGCTTAAATTTAAACAACTTTTATCAAACTAAAAGTGGTTTATTTGATCATTTTATTCTGTTAAAAGATTTAAATCCTAGATACAGGGAAACATCAAAAGCAAACAAGATTTATTGCAATCTCATTATCATTTGTGCATTTAATTCAATTCTTTTATTTAGCTGTTTAATTGTCTAACATAAATTAGAGTGGTTTTAAAAGTATTTGTTTTGTAGTAAGCTTTAATTAAAGGGGCAAAGCAACAAGGCTTCCTAATAATTGGGTATCTTTGTGCAAACAATACTTAAACAAACCAAAAGAAGCAGTTTAGTTTCTCAATTAACTACTTTTAAAAAGAAAACATTTAATTGCAAACATACCAAAAATTTAACACTATTATTGATCAACCATCAAGAATGACTGGTGGAAAAGACCAATCAAATTCTGCTAACTCATCAGAGAATGAAGAACAGGAACATATTGGTGTTATTTCAGTCGCCTTGGAAATGCTCATAAAAACCATCATTGGAGATTATTTAAAAGACGCAGAATCAAAGAGAGTTGCTGACCTTGAGCCCAACGGGCCTGGTGTCATTCATTGTTGTTTGCTAAAGTAGGTGTTAAACTTATTTTCCCCAAATTTTTTCTAAGTCCACCACAAAAGGTGTCTTTAATGTTTTTAAAATGAGTCGCCAAATTATTTTTGGATAAATGTTTATGATTTTAGAGCTATATAAACATTTGTAAGTTGAACCGTCGRGGACCGTTTCAGTATCAGGAAGTTCTCCACATCTGTTGCTGTGTAAGTTTTGGTTCCACACCCCTCCCTTTGGGATCTTTGAAAAGACAAAACTCTCACAAATTCAGGGATATATCTTGACATTGTGTTACTCTTTGTTTGGTGACGTGAAGTTTGTGTGTAACCGAGAGTATAAATAACAGCGCTCATGTGTAAAACAGTGAGGCGGAGTTTGGTTCCATTCAGTGATTTCATGGTGTGCACAATGGTAGATTTTGATGATGCACAGTGTAAATATAAAAGAAAAAGTTATGTCACATGCAGAATGAGTCCTACAATAGAAATCAACTTTTATTAAACCAGATTCTCTTTTATAAAGTAAAAAACCCGTTTGGCACAGTTTTGGGTGCATTTGGCTAAATTGTGCCAAAATGCCATTTCCACCTGGCACAAGAATGTTTCTGAAGATGTAGATGTATAAAATCTAAGCGCATTCCTGGGTTTTCACAAGAGTTTTCATTGTGTTTTGCACTGTTGATTTAGAAAAATTTAAGGCGAGGTTAAAAAGGTTACAAATTTTCTTTATTTAAGCACAAATAACTCAGACACAGTAAGAGTTACAACAGTGGTTTCACTAAGACCTTACCTTTACAGAGGTACCAAGAGTTGGCATTTAGACCTTATAACTGTGGAGCTATTCTTGAATTATTTTGCTGTGTATTTTCAGGCAGAAATTACCTCTTTACCATGTAAAACGTCTGTTTTATCTCCTTGTATGAGTTTGTAATGGTTTGACTCTCTTTATAAAGTGCGTCTTGGTACCGTCGGCTCATGAAGCCAGTGGGTCAGCTTGTAAATCAGCTTGTAAAATGTGGTGCAGTTTGCCTCTGATACGATTATAATCTTGTACATATTCCATGTCAAACAAACAAACAAACAAACAAACAAACAAACAAAAAACCTTAGAGTCTGAAGTGCACCGCACCTGAGACGGGCACCTGCGCACCAGCGGGTTCGCCTCTAGAGTCTGGCTGCCACCAGCAAGCGCGCCCACCGCGGCCCGAGACTCGAACTATCGGTGACGAGACGGAGCAGAAGGGTGGATGTGATGATGTCAGTGCCCATCACAGGACTCGTAGCTTCCAAAATGCTGAAATCATTCCMTTGTCCTCCCGTCTGCAAAGGCCAGAAACGATCTGTTTACCAGCCTACGTCAACGTGGTGTGTTTGACCAAATGGGACAAATAGCTTTCATGGTGCAGTTACACACTTCCTGGTCACAAAGCATTGTCTAAATGCGCACCAAACGTGTAAAAATGRGCACATAATGGCAAAAATTATTCATCATTAAATCTGGTTTTATTTGGAAGTAAATAAAAAATACAACGTTTGAAGTCCGTGCTGTCCAATCCCGTTCAAATGAACAGTGAAAGCTGTCACTGTTTTTTCCAGAAGCCCTGTGAAAGCATCACAGCTTTCGACCTCAGAGAGTTAAAAAAAATTCCTATATCCGCTTCGTGATCCAGAACATCACCAACATTTAATGGTGTGTTCCTTGGCCCAGTACCCACATGTGGTAAAAATGTCCTGACAATCCGTCCACAGACAGAACGACAGACATARGCGACCGAAAACATTACCTCCTTGGCGGAGGTAATAAKAGGGATTCATGAAGAGAACATCTTCACTGAACATCTGCATCAATCTGGACACAGCCTGGTCTGTGCCATTTGTTGAGAAGCAAAAACTAAAAGATGTTTTTTTAGGTCCCAGTGTTCAGGACAACTATAAAAACAGATTTCTGTTCAGCAGGGCAGCTGCAGGACAGTCTATAACGTAATGTGTCATCATCACTAACGTTTCAGAAACTGTCAGTGAAGGTGTTTCCTAACGCCAGCTCATCCACCTCACTGCCTCATCAACTGGAATAAAAATCATCAGCAAATTAGATTTTTTTCTTTTATTACTTATGTCTGTTTTTATTATCATTGAGCATATGTGAAAAGAAACAGTCTGCTAGCATTAGCTTTAAAATGTTTATTAACTTTCTCCACATGGAGCTTTGTTTTCTACCATGGTGCTGCTTTGATTGGGATTTATAAAAAAGAGAGAGTCCCTTGTAAATTGCAATAGTCCTGCACAATCTAAGTTTGTAGCAGTAGGTCTGAGAGCAGCAGAGATGTCATTTAGAGAGGAGAGATCCAGACATGGAAGAAAGATGGGAAAAGAAATAGATCAGGTTGGAGAGATGAAGATGAATAGAGTCAGAAACAGAGTGAGAGCACCGATGTGCACCTTGATGGGCTGGACACACGCACAGCATGCAGCTCCATCAGCATGCACCCCCCAAAATCATGTTCTCAGAGTCGCAACAAAAAGTGCACATATTCACACACAAACACACACATACAGTTACAACAAAAACAACACACACAGACACACACGACTAGCCGGAGAAGGACCCTTTTATGTGAGTGTCCTGCTGGGAGGGAGACAGGGAGGCACAGAACCCATCATTATTACTACAACACAATACTGCACAACCACAGGGGAGGGGTGGAGGGGGCAAAGCAATCTGTCTGACACACACACACACACACACACACACACACACTTCTTCCCTCAGTTACAGCTCAGACAGGTTCAGAAAAAAGCCTGTGGTCTTGTTCATTCAGCTCTCCTCCATTTCACGTTAGTAACAAATACTTCTGTTGGTACAAAGAAGT